TTTTTAATTCACCTTTGTTTACCTTTCTTTTGTTCATTTTAACCCTGTCTTTTCTTTCTTCGCCGTTCTTTTTTTTTTCTTTTTTACTTTCTGTTTTACTTCTTTTTCCCTTTTTTACTTTTCTACTCTTTTTTTTGTTTTTTTCCCGTTTTTTCATTATCATTGGAACCATCATTGAGGCTGTCGTAATCGATTTGATTTTGTCATTTTCGGAGTCAAGTGAGTTGTTAGTGATTTCTGTCTTTTTCGTTTTTTCTTTTTTTTTATCTCTATCTAATGCTCCTTTTTTTCTTCTAGATGTTAGTTGTTCGTAATTTTAATAGCAGGTGGGTTGGTGATTTGGCTGTGGGTGGTTAGTGTTTTCTATAGTGGGTGGGTTAATGACTTTAACAGTGGAGAGGCTCAACAGTGGGTTAGGTTAGTGATGTTAATTTGTTCTTTTTTTTTTTTTTTTTTGGTATTAATTTTATTTTTTTAATAGGTATTTTTTTCTTTTTTATTTTAAGGGATGACTGAAACGGAATGAAATCGGGCCTGGTTTTTCAGATAAGTTTCTGCTTTTTTTTTTTCTTTTTCCTAGTCTTTGTTATATTTTTCTTTCATTAACATCTTTTTTTATTTAGGTGCGATTTCATTGTTGGAGACGCCATTGCTAGAGTCAAGTCTTCGTGTTGCTTTTGTTCTTCGTCATTCCTTCTTACCTCTTCACTTTTCTTGCTTTGCTCTTTTTTCATTTTTTTTTGTCTTTTCTTTCTTTTGTTCGTTTTTCTTCTCTCTTTCTGTCTTTTTATTTTTCTTCATTCTCTTTTCTCCCCTTTTTTTTTCCTCTTCATTTCACTTTTTTCTTCTGTTCTTTCTTTGTTTTTCTTTTTTCCTTTGTTTTTTTTGTCTTTTTTCCGTTTTTTTCCTTTTTGTTTGTCTTCGTTTTTTCTATTCTTTGCATTTTTCTCTTTTTGTTTCATCTTTTCTTCTTTTTTTGTTTCGTCTTTCCTTCTTTTTTTTTTTTTTTTTTTTTTTGTTATTACCAGAATCGCAATTTTTAAAGTCGCTGTTGGATTCATTGCTGGAGTCGTCACTGGGAGTCATCGCTGGGAGTCATCGTTGGAGTCGTCATATGACTTTGGAGCCGTCTTTGAAATCATTGGAATAAATTTGTGCTGTTGGATTTCGTTGGTTATCATGCTGCAGAACTTTGGTGTTACTGCGGTTTTTTTAAATAAAATGAGTGGGCTTGTTGGTTTTATGTTAGTTATATAACGACGTATATAAGACGTTCGTTTGTTTAATAATTTTTTTTTTTTTTTTTTTTATATACATGTTCTTTAAATTGAATAAATAAAATCACACGATCACGTGATCAATTCTGATTGGTCGATCAAGGGGTCACCATGGCGATGGGTTATCATAAAATAACGCCCTATAATGATTATTATTGATTATAATCAATAAAATAAAAAATCAATTCATTTCAATAGTTTAAAAAATTCATAATTTTTAGCCAAACTTTAAATACGAATATCTCAATAACTAATAATCTAAATTGGCTCAAATTTTTATCACAATTAGAAATAATATTTATCTATATAATATTAAAATTTTAGTTAATTTAGCTTAATAGTTTTCGAGAAATTGCTTGTATTTGATAATTGATTTTTTTAAAAAAATTGACGATTGTATACAAACGATTTTTCAAGAACTACGAAGTTGAATTAAATGAAACTTTAATTTATTATAGATAAATATCATTTCTAATTATAGTAAAAATTTGAGCCGATTTAGATTACTAGTTATTGAGATATTCATCTTCAAAGTTTGGCTAAAAATTACAAATTTTTGTTAAATATTGTTAGTTATCACTAACGTTATTAATTGATAGAGGTGCTATATATCGATTATAATCATCCTGATTATCATTGATATATATCGGCTAAAAAAATTTGCTAATGCTAATACATATTGCAAATGGATTAAAAACAACTATTTTGAAGAAAGGTTTTATATACACAAAGTTAGATACATGATTTAATAAATTTATAATTATCTGATTAACTGTTATTTCATTTTTAGAATGCTATCTTATTAATTTATTAATTTTAAGTAAAGATAAATTTGTAAGTGGATAAATATAAGTCAAAAATTTAATAATGTTACAAGTGAACTGTAGCCTTCTTAATATAGCACAAGTAACAAAGCACACAGCTATAGAGCTCCGTTGCGAGATTATAGCAGTGTAGAAGTGGAATATTACTTCACTAAGGGCAGTTCGTAGAAAGTATATAGTTAAAGAAAGATATATTTTATTTATAGTATATAAGACTTTAATTACAAGAAAGAATCTTATAACCAAAGAGGGTTTCTGTATCTACTTGAGTCTATCTAAAGATGATTCGAACTAACTGGCAGGAAGATAGAAAAGTCAGGGTTTATATATCTTTCCAAACTATCTAAAACTAATAGAAATAATAAGAAACGGTAGAAACGGAAGAAACGGTAAAAACGGTAAAAATGATAAGAATGGAAAAAAAAATAAGAACGGTAAGAACGGTAGAAACGATTACTATTCTATCAGTTTCTAATGCTGCGCGCGACTAACTAATAATATCTAAGGTTACTGATATATAATAATAGAATACAAGATAATAATATAATAATATAATAATACTAATAATATAATTAATAATAACTAATAATAAACTTAATAATAAAACTAATACTACAACTTATTCTATAACATTTCCATCCTCTTTAAGAATGAACTCCGTAAATTCTAACTTCTCTTAGCAATATCGAAAAGTCTTCTTCATTCAATTCTTCCAAGTTACTAAAGGTAATCATTGTAGTAGAATAAAGATAATATAATCCACAAACTTGGAGAAGTTGATAAATCCGTTCAGCACATTTTCATGCTCAGGCAGCACGTCTAGGTCCTAGAGCTTTCTTGAGATTATCACGAATCTTCTGTATCTTGTCCTTACTACTATCAGCTTCTTTCTTTAGCTGTTCTAGATAATATGATGTTTCTAATATTCGAATTTGTTAATCATATGATTTTCCACAGCTCTTTTCTTTTAGTCGGCTAATAATTTCTCTAAGTTTTTCTTTAAAGTTTACTCTAATTAGAGGGTTGCATCGAATAAAAACTTCTTTTTTTACTTTTGTGAAATCCTTAATAAGTTGAGCGAGAACTTCATTTTCTGTGTCTTGTATTTGTACAATATCTGCATCGGGTTGTGGAGAAAGTACATCTAATTCTTCTTCTACAGGTTCGATAAAAAAAGTAAGATCGTCCACTGCTATATCTGAAAAATAATTATTTAATACATCGACATTTTTCAAATGTTGTGTAGGTAGGTCCGATTCTGTTTCTGGTACATATTGGAATGACGTAATGATATCAGTTCCATCATGTACTACAATAGAATTTCTATTTATAA